TGCATCCTGGCTCTGCCCAGCCTTGCTCAAATCCCAGCCCTAATGTGAACTGGTGGGAGTTGTATCCCCGCACGGCCTGGTCTGCACCCCGTCCTGATCCTTGAACCTGCCAATGGGTGCTGCAGATCTTGTACCCAGCCTAGCCCACCCCCAGACCTGACCCCACATGTACTGTAGTCTGGCCTGGCCTGGACTGTCCCCAGCCTCAGTTCCTACACTCACCAGCTGGGGCTTCATCATTTTGTTTGTTTGTTTGTTTGTTTTTTAAGATTTATTTATTTTATTACAAAGTCAGATATACAGAGAGGAGGAGAGGAAGATCTTCCATTCAATGATTCACTCCCCAAGTGACCGCAACAGCTGGTGTTGCACCGATCCAAAGCCGGGAACCAGGAACTTCTTCCAGTCTCCCACATGGGTGCAGGGTCCCAAGGCTTTGGGGCATCCTCCACTGCTTTCCCAGGCCACAAGCAGGGAGCTGGATGGGAAGTGGAGCAGCTGGGATTAGAACCAGCGCCCATATGGGATCCCAGAGTGTTCAAGGTGAGGATTTTAGCTGCTAGGCTATGCCACCGGGCCCAGGGGCTTCATCTTAACCGGGAAATTCCACTAGCTCCCTTGTCAGCCCAGTTCCAAGATGCAGATCTTGTGCACACAGTGGACATTTGGCTCAGTCTGATTTGACCCACCTCCAGCTTGAACATTTGCTGGCTGGAACTGTGGGAAGACCTAATTTTAAAAGCCTTCCTGGGGTCAGTTAAGGAATCCCATGGGGAGAAGGATATTTGGAAATCTTTAGGTCTCTCTACCCAGCTATCTTTTTTTTTTTTCTTTTAAAAGATTTATTTCTTTTTATTGGAAAGTCAAATTTACAGAGAGAAGGAGACACAGAAAGATCTTCCATCATCTTGGCTCACTTCCCAAGTGGCTGTCAATGGCTGGATCTCCAAAGCCAAGAGCCGGGATCTTCTTCCAGGTTTCCCACACAGGTGCAATGCCCTAAAGCTTTGGGCCACCCTCTACTGCTTCCCCAGGTCACAAGCAGGGGGCTGGAAGCGAAGTGGAGCAGCTGGGATACTAACTGGTACACATATGGGATCCCAGCAAACGAAAGGCAAGGACTTTAGCCGCTAGGCTACTGCACCGGCCCTCTTAATGTCATCAAAACACCGCTTTCTGGAGCCCAGCACAGCCTCATAGCCCTTGTCATCATGGCGTGCCGGGGCTGTCACCAGCAGTTATTGGCTGTTGCACAGGGTGAGGCCTATGAACCAGCTCACCATTATAATCTAAGTGAGAAGCCCATTTCTGAAACACAGAAGTGTGTTTGCATCCAAGGGTTTTCTTGCATTGACTTTCAGAAAATTAACTGTTGACATCCCCATGTGGGCTAATGGTCTGGGTGGGCAGGAGGGGCTCCTCACGGAAAGAACAACTCTGCTTCAAAGAATACATGCCAAGCCATGTCCCCTGTGGTTGACCCCATAGGGCCTCACTTTCCTTTCTTTCTAGGCCTGCAGCTAAACGTTGAGGCATGGGCAAGCATAGCACTATGATATAGGGTAGCCTGTATGATGTACCTGCATCGTGATGAACCCATTAATAGCTTCATTGTGGTTTTTTAGGCAACCCACTTGACCTTTCTTGGGCCTCACTTTTCTCTATGAAATGAAAATAAAGGCTTTTGTTTCTCGCAGCTATAGGCAACTGCCTAGATTATCTCATACCTAGGCAAGTGTTACATTCCTGGGAGAATAGCAGCTAATAGCTGGTAGACATCCTGGACCTGGTTACTGCCAAATTTATATTAACTAACAATATGCCAGCATAGTTGTTATTTGATTTATTTACTTTTCCAAGATACATGGGAAAGGTGGCGAACGCCAGGCTGGGACACAGCATCCCTGACCTTAGGCAGGGGTGCTGTAGATTGCCCAGGGAAGGTAGTTTGAGAACGTGTTGGAGTGGGAGCTGCTGAGGGCATGTTAGATAAGGGAGCAATGATTTCTGGGGACTTCCATAGACTGGAACACTGTACTGGCAAGTAGGCAAGGGATCTCAGAGGGAGGAAACTGGAGGGCATGTCTGGGTCAGGCAAGGCACTGGTCCATGTGGGAAACCTGGGCTGGACTAAGTAGCATTGCCTGCTGCCCACTGGCACACATGAAATTTGAGTTTGGAGGAGTATGCCTGGTTGGTCTAAGCTGTACCTGCCCACAAGTTTTAGGGTACAGATGGGCCATATCAAGTTGGACCACAACGCCCACTAGAATGTGAGAGATTTGGAGGCAGATTCTGTAGGGGATTTGTGGACTTGTCTCTGTGGGGTTGCAGTACCTGCCAGTTCATGCAAGAGTTGGGAGTAATGACAGGCTGAGCCAGGCTGAACCATATAACTCACCTGACACTTGTGGGAGCTGGAACTGGGAAGGGGCCAGACAGAGCTGGGCTGTAGCACCCACCAACACATGCATAGTCTAGGACTGAAGGCAGACCATGCCAAGCAGTCTCATGGTACCCACTGGCACCTATGAGATCTGGCGCTGGAAGTGGGTCTAGTAGAACTTGGGGAACTCTCCTGCTAGGCTGCAGCTCTCACTGGGGAGCATAAGAGCCAGGGCTAGAGGCAGGCCAAGTGAGGCTGGGCTAAAGAACCCATTGGCCTAAATGTGTGCCAAATCTGGGGGTGGACTGGGCTGGATCAGTCCATAGCACCCATTGGTTCCTGTGAAATGTGATTGGGGGCAGAACTGACCAGGCAACTGCATCTTCTGGTATGTGTGTTGGCTGGTGCAGATAACAGACCAAACCTGATCCTTCACTGGCTGGTGCACCCAGAAGTCTGAGGTCACCTCAGATGAGGTTTCTTGGGGGGGGTCTCCCTAACCTGATCACTGGATTCAAATCCTGCCCACAGAGAAAATCACAAGATATGCGGTATGATCTTGGAATGCATGTATTGGGACTGGGCCAGTGGCTGATGCCCGTGCAGGGGACAGTATGCCCAGATGCACAAAGGGAGCAAGACAGCCAGCAAACCTAGGCCAGCAGAGGATATGGAGTGCTTTGTCAGCGGATGGAGAAAATAGACAACTCTGGATACAGCAGGTGCCTGGGTCTGTGGATATACTGAGGTAGACTCTGTCAGCCAATAGACCTTGGAAAGATTTTTCTCAACTTTGGAACAATGAAGCTGATGATATCTCAGAACTATCAAAACTACTCAAGTAACACCCTCAGAGCACTCTTCCTAACATTGAGGTCTCTAAGCTGTCATCAAATGACTGTCTCCCATCCCCAGGTATTGATGTAGCTTAACAACAAGGAATGGCCCTCTCTTCTGCACAGCAGACCAGAATAAAGAGAACTGAAACATTTGTCCCACCCACCTTCCTCCATATCTTACATTTGATCTTAGTCAAAAGGCTGAGAAGCGATCCTCCATATCTTGAGCCTCCCACCCTAACTGGAAGCCCAAGAGGCATGTATCTCTCTCATATTTTTTAAATATGTAAAAAAAATTTAAAAATAAAATAAATTTTAAAAAACCCAAAACCTTTTATTATAGAATTCCCATCCAGCTCCCTTCTTGTGGCCTGGGAAAGCAGTCAAGGACGGCCCAAAGCCTTGGGATCCTGCACCTGTGTGGGAGACCTGGAAGAAGTTCCTGGCTTCGGATCAGCGCAGCACCGGCCATTGTGGTCACTTGGGAGTAAATCATCGGATGGAAGATCTTCCTCTCTGTCTCTCCTCCTCTCTGTATATCTGACTTTGCAATACAAATAAATAAATCTTAAAAAAAGAAAAAGGTATTGAGCTGCGTGTTGTTCCAACTATGTGTTATTCCAACACTTAAGTTTTATCTTGGGCTTGAACAGCCAAAGCTGTTTTAAGGTATAGTTCCCCCCTTAAAAACAAATTAACATTGGGACCAGTGTGATGTAGCTAAATCCTTGCCTTGTACACACCAGGATGCCATATGGATGCCAGCTCATGCCCCAGATGCTCCACTTCCCATTTAGCTCTCTGCTTGTGACCTAGAGGATGGCCCAAAGCCACGGGACTCCGTACCCACGAGGAAAACCCAAAGAAGCTTTTGGCTCCTGATCAACTCAGCTCCGGCTGTTGCAGCCACTTGGGAAGTGAACCAAAGGATGGATCTTTCTTTATCTCCTCTCTGTAAATCTGCCTGATAAAAACATCTTATATACACACACACACAATCATGTGAACATGTAATGAGTGGTAAAGAAACTTCCTGAAGAGGTCCTTCTCAGTAGCTTTGGGATGGGACTTACACATTCTGTAGTTCAGCAAAATGTCCACTGTACATACCAATGTTCATGTAAAACTGAACTCCCATCTCTGACCATGTAAGCCTTACACGTTACGGCAGCTAGGACAAGACAAGTCACTCTAACGCAACATCTAAGACCAGGCTTACATCTTGCTTCCAAAACAGCCCAGGGCAGGGTCCAGGTTGGCGAGCAGCTGTCCAAGTAGACTTTGGGCTCCTCCAACACTTGTAATCTGGTTATTACTGGCAGGCGGCCTCCCATGGGTTTTTGTTTTTATTTCTGTTCACATCCCACTGCAGAAAACTGGTTAACACTAGGGCAGGACACATTCAAGTATGCAGCCAGTGGCTTCCAAATGAGGCAGAGACCCACAGGAGTAACCTGCCAAAAATGAGTTGATTCCAGCCAAGTGTCAAAGCCAGGGCTGCAGCCAGATCTCCTGATGCCTGTGCTTGATGCCTCAAAAACCACAGCCCCCACCCCAGCTTTCCTTCCTGGTCCCTCCCACATCCTGTTCTCCACTTTGCAGATGGTGGGACCCTATCAACACCTGCCCTGGATCACATTGGTTGAAATGGACTTCCCATTCCACATGCCTCCTTCTTTCCCCCCACTACATCTGTCCATGGGCACACAGATTCTAGGACTTTGAGCACAGGTCTGACTTGACATGGGTTCCCCTAGAGCAAGAAACAACAGAGGTTTCCAGGCCATACTTTTATTTGTAACAGAAGCAGCAGCCCAACAGCCAAAGGGACCTGGGTGCTAAATAAGCACAGCGCCTTTAGCTGCAAGAGCCTGATGGGGAAGAGACTCAAGACTTTCTCCTTGGTTCCCCTGACCAAAGAAAAATGAAGTCACACACCACACGCTGCCACACCCACCCCACCCTTCCCCAAACAGCCAATGATGCAACCTTACAGCTGGAGAAACTGGCTACCATTCTGACTTTACAGAAAATCTCCATGCAGGCAAGAAACACAGGGTTCTGCAGGGAGAGGCCAACTTCCCCGGGCACCATCTTAAACCCCATCCAGGGACTGGCTGCTCACCATACCTGGCCTCTCTTGCCAGGTGAGGCTTTCCTCGAGCAACACATGAACCTGAGGCTGCTGTGACTCCCAAATACCTTTCCTTCCAAGTCCAGGTTCTGGGTATAATCTGTAAACAGCTGGATTTGGGCTCCAGGAATAAGGGCGACACAGGCTGCCAGCATGTCTGGCCACAGTGGTGGTGGCTTAGGGATGGGGGATCCACTGGCAGAGTGATGATGACACATTAGCTATTGGGATCCCACCTAGCTGATGCTAACCCTTCATCCACAGCAAGCAGAATCATAAGTTTAGCACCGAGAAGGAAGCACAAGGTGGGAGTGGGGTGGGCTCGTTATGAGGGCTGTCGACACATTTCACACACATTGCCAACTAGAGGCCAAATGGGGGAAGTTGGGTCTTTTTCTTCTGAGGGCCACAAGTGGGTCAGCTCTCTCAGGACCATACCCAGCAGTGTGCCAGGCCTGGGGTACAGTGGGAGCATCCTTTAGCCAAAGTGTGACTCAAAGAGGGCTCTGGCACCTGCTCTCCCATGAGCCTTTCTGAAAATGAGGAAGGTAGCTGGCCAGAGGAAGGACCCTGAAGGAGTGATGCTCCCACATGTCCACCTGGTCATCCAGGCTACATCCCTGACTCTCAGCGCCAGCTTGCCATGGGGGTTTAAGCCATGGTGCCTGAGACAGCTGGAGAGGCCCAGGGGAGGTTTGGTCTGTTTATGGAATTGACAAGGAAGCTGCAACCCAGAGGTCATGGCTGCCTGAATCCCAGCTTCCCCAACCCCTGGCAGTGCCAGAAGCCTTCTCGGATTTGGAAATTTTCAGCCATGGCTGGGAAGTTCTTGGGATGGAGCTGCATAAACAACCAAGCTTTCTAACACGGGGTGGGGGAAGGGCCCAAGGAGATTCCCTCTGGAACGGAATTGGAATGAACTTTTCTCTGAGCTTAGGATTTGTAAGGCACTGAAATTAACTACAGCGAGGGGCAGGTGGAGAGAAAGAAAATCAGGGGATGCGTGATGGGAGAACGCATGTGGCCACACTTTGTTCCAGGCCCATGGTGTAAGTCCTCACGGAGACGTGGGGGCGGACTCCACCTTCCCACTGCTGCAGGGTCCATCCTCAGCTAGCCGGTTCTGGGGACAAGCAGTGGCCCGGAGGGCTGGCAAACCAAGGATCCCAAGTGCCCTGTCCTGTTCCTGGCAGGGATCCGCCCCCACTGCATCTGGGTGTTCTGGGTTGGGATTCAACCTTGGAAAGTCCTCTCTGGAGGAAGTGCCTGAGGGGACTCAGTGGTGGCTGGAAGGAAGAACATGCCTGAATTTGGAGGAGCAGGGGCAGGACACCGGCAAGGAGAGCAGAGAGAACTTTGGGATCAGACCTGGCTTTGGCACGGCACATGTTGGGCCTGCCCACCCCGCGTGGTGCCCTCCTGCTCCCCAGAGGCTGACTCAGGCAAGGGCCCTGCAGCATTAGGACACTGCCTTCATTATTCCAGCCCAACTCGGGCGCAGGTGGCCTCATGGCAGTGGGGGAGCCTAGCTTTTCTCAAGGGCTCAAGCCACAGCATCTGTGTCAAGAGGCAATGCTGTATTCAAGAGGGAAGCAGTATTAACAGCTACCCTACAGGGGCAGCACTGAGCACAGCAGGTGTGTGCTCCAGTGAGCTGGCCTGCAAGGAGGTATTATTACCTTTCCACGAATGGAGACTGGGCTCAGATGGGGCAAGTGACACACTACCCGAGTCACACAGCTAGTGAGCAGACACACTAGGAACCAGACTCGGGTCTGCAGGACTTGCCAAGTCCCAAGTTCTTTCTGCCTGCCCGGGCTGCCCTGGGCTGGAGGCCAGGTGGAAGCCATCGGGGCCTTGTTTGGGTGGGACTTCTGGAGGGGTTTCTTTCTGAGAACATGGATCTGGGAAAGCAGCCAAGGCAGAGCTGTGGGATGACGCCGGTGGCCCCCCACACGTGTCTCTGTGTCTGTCCATGCCAGCGGCCACGGCTCAGTGCCTAGCGGCCTTGCAGATCTTGTCGTAGACCTCGGGGAAGGCGCCCTGGCAGTCAAGCTGCTTCCGCAGCTTGTGGTACAGGGAGCCATCAAACATTTCCCAGAATTCTTCCCGGTTCATGTAGCAGTCGGCGTAGAGCATCTGGAACCTGCAGGAGGAGAAGAAGGAAGTGGTGAGGGTGTGGCAGAGGCCTGGGGGTTGTGGGGAGAGGAGGGAGGTGACAGCATCGGATTGCTTAGAAGGTAGGGTGACAAGTGTCCCTGTCTTCAGGGTGAGAGGGTAGGGAGATGAAGTGGCTTAGTGGGCAGAACTTAGCCTGCTCCTGGAGTTCTTCCATTGCTCCCCGCCTCCTGACCATATCGTTGGCAGCGTTCTTGAACATTCAAAAAACTTTGCATGACTTTACACGCTGGGTGTGCGAATATACACAAGCAACCAGGAAACCAGGCCTGTGGGCCATGCCCACTGTCCCCTACAGCTCTCTCCTCACACTTGGTTGATTATTCAGTCATCAATGCCCCCAGGCCACCACTGTCTACTGTGTCCCATGGAAGCATTCGTGTGTTTTCTGGAATTTTCTATGCATAGGATCCTATGGGATTCCTGGCTTCTGTCAGTCACTGTGAGTTTTCTGAGATTTGCCTGCATTTTGTGCGACACGGTTGGTTCCAGGCTGCTTTTTAAGGGACAGTTGGTCCTCCCTTCCTGGGCCTTCTCTCAGGGGACAGTTTGCCATCCCGGTCCTTCCCTCCTGAACGCTGGCCTGTCATTCTGAAGGAGTGGCCCCTGAACAGACATAAAACCTGTCATTGGCCCTGTGGGGAGGAAAGGGGGAACGCCTGGAATTCCAGCTTGGGCACCTGGGAGGTGGGGGAGTAGGAAGGAGATGGGCAGGCAGTCCTGGCATTGCACCTGTTCCTGTCTCCCACAGCTGATGGCCCTGCTGTGGGCGCTCTAAGCAACCAGCTAGTCCAGCCTGGGCTCCTGGTTCTCCCTGAGAATTGGCTGTACTCTCCGGGGGTAGGGACCACTCACCCATGCACACTCCGGACAAACTTCTCCAGCTGCCTCATGCAGGATCTGGCTTCGAAGTGTTTTACACGTGGCTCCCCATATGCCCCGATGTCGACGTAGAGCTCGGCCTCATCTCCCTTGGGGTGTACCATGCCTGGCTGGCTGGGCAGGATGAATGGGCACAGCCAGATGGGATAGACCTGGGGAGATCAGGGTGCTGGGCATTGGTACTTCATGGCTGGGTCCCTCAGGCCCACCCAACAAGAAGGTTTCTGCAGCAGGTTCTGCAGCCCTGGCTTAGGCTGCTCATGGCTTCACCCCTGCCTGCCCAGGTCTGGCTGAGAACACCCAGAAACCACTACTCTGAAGACTCGAGCAGGGCAGTGCCACTGCCAGGCCCTCTAGCCTCCCCCTGCCCACCAGGGTCATCCCTCAGCAGGCTCAAGGCCAAGACCCTGATTCCACATTCTGAGGGTTAGTGGGATAGGGCAGGGCAGGCACTCACGTGGATATCATTGTGGAAGGTATGCAGTGCCTGTGGCAGGCACTTCATGGGCACCAGCATGTCTTGCACCACATGGTGCTGCTCGTAGAGCTTGCGCAGGGTCTCGCCCTGAGTCAGCTTCAGTAGGGAGATCTTGGGTGGCACCATCCAGCCGAAGAGGTAGCGGAAGACGGGGTTGTTGCCGAAGGGGATGATGTCCTGCAAGACAATGGGTAGGGGTGTCAGGATGGAAGCAGCAAGGGAGATGTCTCCATGTGTTGGGGTTCCAGGACCAGACCCGCTAAGTGCAGGTGGCATGGTCCTGCCTAGAACTTTAAGAGTAGCATTTGGGCTTGAGTCTTGGTTCTGGCTAGCTGTGATGACCCTGAGCTACTTACTTCTCTGAGCTCAGCCTTCTTATCTGGGAAATGAGATTTTTGAGGATAATAAAGGTCTACACACAAGGCTCCTCACTCTGGGCTGGTGCCTGAAACAAAACGAGGAGGTAGCCACCCACTGTTCGGGTTCTACCTGCTGAGGTTAGAGTGGCTGGCACAGAGTAGGTGTTTATAAACATTTGAGAAATGAATGATTCAGAAGAAGAGACACTAGGAGAGCTTAAGCAACCCCCCAAGGTCACACAGCAAGGACAGCCTTCAGCTAATTCATGCTGACAAGGAGCCTGCTTGGATGCTTTGTTCGAAGCCTACCACTTCCTGCCTCCTGAGCCTGGCTGCTCCCCAGTGATGCCTTCACAGCTCCTCTGTCCTCAGCCCAGCTGCATTCCTGCCTCCTGGTGCTGTGCAGCTGACACACTGAGCCAGACGCCACAAGGAGCCGCATGGCAGTTTCTTCTCTCCTCTGGCCCCTTGAACCTGCCCAGCCTGCTCTGAGGCACCTCCGCCCTGCTGGGTTGCATGGCTTCCAACTTGCAACAACCTTCACAACCCTTGCTTCCTATCTCAGGGAGAAATCCAAAGGGTTTCTGGATGGGAACTCCTGCACCAAATCACACTCGCATTCATCCGTAGCTCCCTGTCCAGGCTCCCAGCAAAAGGCAACCCCTCTACCTGAGCACAGGAGCCGGCCCCACTGCCCTGTGCCAGACTTTGCCTACAGGAGGCCTGTATCCTTTCCAATGGGTTACAGAGCATGCTGGCACGTCTCCTGGCTGAAAACAACCACACATACAAACGATCTTCTCTTGCGCCTACCCCTCCTGGTCCTCCAGATAGACCCTATTTCTCTTCTTCCCCTTACGACAAGCTGCTGCTGCTTTTTTTTCCCATTATCTCCACTTACTGTTTCCAGCTCTCTCTCAAAGCCATTGGTTTCATTCCGACTGCTCAAGGTCAACGATGACCTCTTCTGGCTGAGACCAGAACTCTACCCTGCTGGGATCACTGGGCAACCATACATGAAAGGATGGGATTGGAGACTACCTCACAGTGTGGATAAAAAGGAACCCAAACAGACCAACAGTCTAGGTGTAAGAGTGAACACGCTGGAGCCAGCGTTGTGGTACAACTGGTAAAATCACCCTTTTGCGACACTGGTAGCCCAAACTGGAATGCCAATTCAAGTCTTGCCTGCTTTGCTTCTGATGCAGTCTCTTGCTAGTGTGCATGGAGAGGCACTGCATGATGACTCAAGTGCTTGGGCCCCTGCCACCCATGTAGGACACCCAGCTGGAGTTCCTGGCTCCTGGTTTCAGCCTGGCACAGCCATTTGAGGAGTGAACAAGTGCATGAATGATCTCTTTCTGTCTTTGTTTCTTCCTCTTTCTCTCTCATTCTGCCTTTCAAATAAACAAATCCTTTCAAAAAAAGGGCAAAAGGTTGATCTCTTGTAGACAGTGGCCAAACAAGCATATGCAATGATGTTCAGCACCATTAGCTAACAGGAATGTGCAAATCCAAACTACAGTGAGACATCACCCACTCTATATCCATGACAGTGGCTCTCCATGGCAGCAGTAACTTGAAAACCACACCAGAGCCAGTGTGGGTGAGAATGCAGATAAGCTGGAACCGTCCTGTGTGCTTGGTGGGAGCAGAGAACAGGACAGTGGCTGAGGCAGAAGTGTGGCAGCTCCCCAGTGAGGCAGTCAGAGACCTGCCCCAGGACCAGTAGCCCACTCAGGATGGTGACCCAGAAGAATTGGAGGCTGGCTCTCAGGCACACACGTGGACCTGGATGTCCACGGTGGCACTATTCACACAGCCAGAAGGTCCAAGCGTCTGTGAGCAGGTGAGTGGGAAAACAGAGTGAGCTACACCACGGAAGCCAGAAAAATGAAGTGAAAACCTAGAAAACGTGAGGGGACAGAGGCCAGGCACAAAAGTGAAGCACCACGTGAATCCCCGTGTTGGAAATGCCCAGAGTATACAAATTCACAGCAACAGGAAGTGAACAAGGTCATGGGTGTGGTGTTTCTTTTCGGGGTGATGAGAACATGTCGACTGGACAGGCATCAGTTGCACAACCCAGGAATGTGCTCCCTTCTGAATGGTGGGCTCGACAATGGTTCATTCTACGAGCGCCTGTTTCAAGCCCTGGGCTCCGGCAGGGCCTTGGTTGGGTGCTCTCCTGGGGATTCCCTGTGACTGGCCATCCCTGTGTTTAGGCTCCTGTTCACAAGTCAGCTCCTCAGGGATGAGGGGGACTTTTGGTAACCCCTCGCCCACGCACAAAGTTGCTGCTTCCTGGGTGTCCACCCCTCCATTCATGGAGCAGCAAACCTCTCCCTCAGCAATCACGGCCCAGCCAAGTCACCCCTTCCCCTTTTGCTTCAGCAGTCTTTCAGTGCTGGCCTTTGCCTGTAGGCCCAGGCTAACTGCTGCCCAGGGACCAGGGCAGGGCAAGTAGGCCACTCCTGGGGTCGGGGTAGGTGCTTGGGGGTGGTTTTTGGTTGCCTTCCAGCTCCTACCTGAGGATTCCTTGACACCCTGCTCAGCTGGCCCAAAAGAGCCTGAAGCCGCCCGCTCACCTGTAGCTCCCAGAAGATGCTGCGTGTGTGGCGGTGGTAGTAGTGCCTCAAGGGGATGTACTCCAGGCCCTCTCGGTTTGTCTTCAGGTAGTTTTCCACATGCTTGAAGAACCATGGCTTGTAGTAATTGCCAATGCTATTCAGCTGCAATGACAGAGGGCACTATGATGAGTCCACAGACAAGCACTGGGCACGTGCTGGCTGTAATAGTGATCCCTGGCTTGTGTTCAGCCTATCCAGCCCTTTCCAAAGTTCAGTCCTATTCAGGAAGGATGGCCTGTGTGAATCTTGGAAGCTGGGGGAGGGGACAATCAGGCCTAGCAGGTATTTCTACACGGGAACTGAGTTGAGTGGTGTACCCGGGGCTTGGTTCCAGAGAGTTTGAGGACTGAGTGACCCCATCCTAGCCTAGTGCACCTCCACAAGAAGAGCATAGTGCAAGGCCTCATAGTATCTCCCCTAAGGCAGGACTCTCTCCCTGCATGCACTGCTGCAAGCCTGCTCTCCACGAGGCATGAGCATGGGGCCTGGGTCCTCCTCTCTCACTGGCCCTAGGGCCCACTGAGACCCTGGGACGCCCCCGCCCTCTGCAGTTATTGCCACCTATAGAAAGCTTACCAGAACACATCTGCACACTCAACAGTCCTGGACACCCTAGTCTCCACTGCCTGAACTTTCCACTGTGCTGGAAACTGCTGCAGCCCTTGATGGCCACAGGCTCACTCTGCCATGCCCTGGGACGACTTAGCTCCCTGCATGTCAGCTTCCCCCTCCAGAGCTTCCCAGTGAGCTGCATCCTGGAAGGAGCACAAGCTTCGGGGCTGAGCCCTGGCCCAGTCACTAACTGTGCAACCTTCATAGGTAAAATACTAAAAATACAGACTTCATGGGCTGGCTGTTTGGCATGGTGGGCCAACCATGTCTCCTAGTGGAGTGCGTGGGTTCAAGTCCCACTTCCAACCTCACATTCAGCCTTCCAACCTCTTGCCAGTGTAGAACCTGGAGGCACCAGGTGATGGCTCAAGTACTTGGGTCCCTACCACCCAGGTGGGAGGCTCAGGTCGAGTTCCGAGCTCCAGGCTTTGGCCTGGCCTAGCCCTGGCTGTTGTGTGGGCATCTGGGGAGTAAACCTGTGGATGGAGAGTCTCTCAGCCTTTTTTAAACAATAATTATTATCATTACATACTTTATGGGGATTTTTTTTTTTTTTTTGCCTCTTACACACATATACATGTGCCACTCTGCCCAGTGCAGGTGAAGGTTTCTTTCTGAGCAAAACCCCATCATTTGGAGGATAGTGCTGTGGCCCAATGGAATAAGCCACCACATGAAGTGCTAACATTCTACATGGCTACATGGGCATTGGTTTGAGCTCCAGCTGCTCTACTTAAAATCCAAATCCCTGCTAATACATCTGGGAAAACAGCAGAAGACCATGGGCTTTTACATCCCCATGGAAGATTTGGAAGTAGTTCTTGGCCCAGCCCCAGCATGTGGCCCTTTGGGGAATAAACCAGTGGATGGAAAACCTCTCGGGCCTGGTGCAGTAGCCTAGCAGCTAAAGTCCTCGCCTTGTATGCCCTGGGGTCTCATTTGGGTGCAGGTTCTAATCCCAATGGACCCACTTCCCATCTGGCTCCCTGCTTGTGGCCTGGGAAAGCAGTCGAGCCAAAAGCCCAAAGCCTTGAGGGAGACTCGGCAGAAGCTCCTAGCTCCTGGCTCCTGGCTTCGGAGTGGCTCAGCTCCAACTGTTGCAGTCACTTGGGGATTGAATCACCGGATAGAAAAATCTTCCTCTCTGTCTCTCCTCTCTCTATATCCAACTTTGCGATAAAAATAAATAAATCTTAAAAAAAAAAAGAAAGAAAGAAAGAGAGAAAGAAAACTTCTCTCACTGTAATTCTGCCTTGCGAGAAAATAAGTCTTTAATAAAACAAAACAAAATCCCATCACGTGGAAGGCCAGCTCCCATGGCCTTTGAGACACCCACCAGGCCAGAGGCTTCCTCCCTGGCTGACATCTGCCAGCTTCTTGTGGTTTGTGGTGTGGGGGCCGGAGGGTCACTGAGTTCTGTGTAAGATGAGCTCATATCCAGCTGGGAATGGGCAAAGGGTTCAGAGGAAGTAGACAGTGGCCCAGGCCTTGTGAGAGAGGCAGGATACGGTCAGGGCACATCAGGGAGGGACATGAGGGAAGGAAACACACACACAGAGGTGAAAGGCTCAGAGACGCCCCGTCATAGGCTCCCAAAGGAGAATCATCAGCATGGAAGCGGCCAGCATCCCCTGGGGCGCGAATCCTTGACTGCCCCATGGCCACCGTGGCCAGGCTCGTCCCTGTCACCTTGCTGAGCTCGAGGTGTCTGTGGCAACCAACAGGCTGAGCACTCAGCCCCACACCTGCTAGGAGGCCAGGCCAGGGCCTGAAGGCAGAAACCTTGACAGGTGGCCTCTGGAATGTAGGCATCATAAAATGAAACCAAAATGATCCACTCATTCCTTCCCGATTGCAAAAGTTGCGCATGCTGCTCTAGGAAAGGTCAAAAGAAATGCCCCATTAGTCTCACCACTGGGGACAGGGAGGGGGCTGCCACAACAGCTCCACACCCACTAGGTCGGGTTTTCCGTGCACACGGGACTCTCTCAGACACACTGATGACTTGCCACTGCCAATACCCTTGACCCGACCTAAGCAAGTCACCTCACCTCTCTCAGCTTTTCAATGGATACCCTGGAGAAACTGACAAACTTGTGGTGTGTGCATCATTGCCAGGTACTAGGTAGCTAGGTGACTAGGTGCTAGCTAACACACTCTGGCTTCCCCTGGGTCCCAGCACCCCCGAGTCCTCAGCACTCAGCACAGAGCCCATGGGGATCAATGCCTGAGTGAGATGCCAAATCTCAGCAGCACGCAGCACTGAAACAGGCTGAACCAAGCAGGTGCTGCGTGGCGCAGGGGAGACTCCTCCTTTCTCTGACCCTCACTTCCTAATTAGGAGAGGGGGCTACACCAGGTGATTTCCAAGTCCCTTTCAATGGTAAAATAACTGTGGCATCTAGGTGTACTTATCAATGGCCTTATGACTGATTTCACATCTGCTCATTCTACTTTAAGAGATTCAAATGACCAAAGATGTTCATAACTCTAGTCATCAAGACAGCAAAAACTGGAAATCACTTAAATTGTCAGCAGTGTGGTAAGGCCTTAGTGGGTGACAGGGCACTCATTGAAAGCAACGCTATGAAGACAATTAGGATGGATGTGATGGGGGCACAGTGACCTGGGGAAATGCTCACCACACTAACCCAGCCAGGACAACCATGAACCTGTGCCTATAGCCAGAGACAAACTAAAGAAACCGCAAAGAGGTTCAAGCTCACAAGTAACCCAAGATATACAAAATAAAACCAGATACTATTTTTAACCCTATCAGATCGGCAAAAATGAGTGATACTATCCAGGCTTGGCAAGCATGCAGAGGAAATGGGGGCCAGTGCTACGGCACATCATGTTAAACATCCCCATACCGGAGTGCCAGTTCAAGTCCTGGCTGCTCTGCAGGGAAGGCAGAGAAGTAGAGCTCAAATTCTTGGGGCCCTATCACCCACATGGAAGACCTGGATCGAGTTCCAGGCTCCGGGCTTCAGCCTGGCCCTGACTTGATTGTTGCAGCCTTTTGGGTGGATGAACCAGTAGAAGGAAGAGCTCTCACTCGGCCTTTCAAGTAAATTAAATAATTAAATAAACAAAAAATTGAATCCAGTCCCTAAAAAAAAAATACAAGGTAAAGGCATTCTGACACACCAAGCACAGTTTTCCGGTGGGCTGCATGGGCTTGTTTACACTGTTTAATGTGCTCGAACCCTCCGGTCAGTAAATCCATTCACTTGATTCAAGTTTACACAAATGTTAACAAACAAAAGGGCTGGGAAAGATGTAGGAGAATCTTAAAATCTCAGGGCAAATCTTATGAATATTTGGTGTAAGAGCAGACAGTTTAAGCAATTGAAGCACTCACCAAGAAAGCACTGAATAAGGCCAAGTCTTTACTTGCAACAATAGGGTGTTACAGAATGAAACTAGGGCAGGCACAGGCGCATGCATGCGCACACACGCACAAGTCCCAAAGAATGCACGATAAGCCATGAGGGGCTACCCTGGGGGCATCCAGACACGCACTGTGGCTTCTGCCTTATGCATGCCAACAATGTTTCACTACTGCTGTCATTTAAAAACTTAAAGGAAAAAACAAAATCTATGTATGGAAAAGGAGAAAATAATTCTGAGCAATGGCCGGCTTCCAGTCATGTTTTAAGTAAAGTCTTTCCCTTTCACTTGTTTACACCTCAAAGTCTTGACAAATCCTTTTGAAGCAGATAAAAACTTGCCATTAAAAATTACAAGGCATAAGGTGAAGGCATTAAGTCTATCACCTTGACCCTGGCCTTGTTAACTCATGGAAGTTTATATTAGTTCTTGGAGTTTCAGTTTCCTTATCTCTGAAGTGATGTTGCTGTGAAAAATTACCAGCACAACAGGTTCATGTGCCACCTGTCGTGTCAGCATCCCATTATCACAGCACCAGTTCAATACTCATCTGCTCACCCAATCCAGCTCCTTGCTAATGTGCCTAGGAAGGCAGCAGAAGATGGTCCAAGTGCTTGGGTCCCTGCCACCCATATGGGAGACCCAAACTGAATTCCTGGCTTCAGCCTGACCCAGTCCCAACCAACATGGTCATTTGGGGAGGGAACCAGTAGTCAGAAGATCCATGCCACTCTATCTTTCATGTAAGAAATGACAGAGAGAGAAATGGTGATAGGTTGACACAGGTCTGTATCCCAAATGGACTGACCCAGGGAGCAGGCTCAGGGAGGTGTAGGGTCAGCATCAGCCCGCCCAGGCCTCCCCTTTTCCTGGTCCTGATCCACAGCCGTGGATGCCCTGGCCCACCTTGCTGGGATCTACTTCATCAGTCATGACCCCTGTCATGATGACAGCCTCCTCCAGGGAGTAGAGCAGGCCCTCCACGAAGTGGTTCTCTGGCCGCTGGGACTCGCGGGTAAATTTCTCACAGATGGCTTCCATGCCTCGCACTGGCTCAAACCGCAGCTTGACATACTTCTTGGCGGGGATGATGCGGATCTCGGCGGCCACCAGGAAGCCCAGGGTCCCACAGGACCACGGCACGGCATAGAACAGGTCTGAGTTTTCGGACTGGGAGACAGAAGGGACACATGCAGAGAGGGTGAGTCCGGATGTCATGCTGTGGCATGCAGTTGGTGCAGGACAAGGACCCCAGGGCCTCAACTCAAAACTGCCTGGCCTCTGCCTAGCACAGACGTAGGCACTGACTGTGACCCCAACAGCCTGAGCTTTTGAGCTTCAGATTCCCTCTGCAGCTTCCACATGGCCTCAGTACTGGGCATACTGGCCAAGATGGCCTCCTTTTCCCCTTCTTCCTGGGAATAGCCCTTGCTCCACAGTCAACCTGAGGGCAGGGCCATGACCAGTGCTGCCCAAAATCCCAAATAGGTCTGTAATGAGCAGGGGTCCCAGGCCAGTGTTAAAAAGAGCCTACCTTTACTCAGAGGCAGAGTATCCAGAGGACATCAAAAGGCCTCCCTTTGGAACCATAACCGGTATTTACACAGCAGATGTTATAGCAGTGGTTAAGGCTGCTTGGGACGTCTGCATTACCTATCAGAGTGCTTGGGTTTAAGTTCTCAGCTCTGCTTCTGATTTCAACTTCCTGTTGCTAGGTTACCTTGGGCAGGAGCAGGTGATGGCTCAGTCAAGTCCCTGTCAGCCGTGTGAGAGTGCCAGACTGAACTCCAGGCTCCTGGCTTCAGTCTGGTCCAGACCCAGCTGTGGCACACATTTGGGACTCAGAGTCTCTAAGAGGTGACACAGCTCACCCAGGGTTTCCCAGAAAGTGGGCTCAGGTGAGACATCACCTGATGTCACCCTTGCACGAGACCCATATCTGGCTTTGCCAATCTTGTTCTAACTCCAGCATTTCTGGAAGCTGACAGTTGATCTCTCCTCTGGCCATTCTAATTCCAATTCTCCCATTCTAACAAGCCTCCTGTTGAAAATGCTGGGCCTCGTCTTGGCTTCACCAGGAAGATGGCCTAATGTGGTCTCTGGCAGCCAGCCCTTTAGTGGTTGGCACAGCAGGGCATGGCAGGGGAGGGAAGTCATTGCAGGGTAGCTCTGCTATGGGTGTGGATAGCTCCGTGACTGCAGAATTAGGCCATGGATCATGGCAGCTACAACCAGGCCCTGGCCATGTGCCTGGCCCTATGCACCTGTTTGCTCTCTCTGCCCACACAGGGTCAGATGGGGACCTCAGAGAAAGATGGAGGCATTCACACGTTTGTTTCTTGGCTGGAAATGAACAAGTTGGTGTATGTGGTGGGGTAGGGGTCACGACCCAGACAAGCACAGGGTAACGTGCTGGCAGGGGTGTGGCTCAGTTAAGACCAGAGCTCCCAAGAGGGGTTCCTCCCTACGCTCTCTGCAATGAGGCTGACAACCCAGACCTTCTTTGAAATAGCCAGTCTTGAAGGCTCAGACTTCCCCTCCTGCCCACTCCAGGACACACGGCTTCAATCCTGTCCCACTCCTTAGGTCAGTGTTTAATGTCTGATCCCATTTGGCATGTCAGAACTGTCTTCCATTGATTTAGAACAATCTTTCCTTTGCTTTTGGTTTACCCTCCTCAGCATCAAATGCGCAGGTGTCACAGCAGAGAGGGTCAGGGATCAGGGAATCTGATGATCTGTGTGTGCATTCAGTGGTGAGGAATTTACTGGTTGATCAAAGGCAAGCTGATCTACTTCTCTGTTCTCTAGTTTCCTAACTGTAAAATGGGAATAATAGTAGCACCTACCAATAAGATTGCAGAAGGATAAAATGCATTAATATATATAATATATATCAAATAGAGCAGCATCAATGGACATATAGTTGGGGGGAGGGTACTATATAAACTTTGGCTACTATTACTGGTAGAGACAGACTAAACAGGTGCATTTGAAATGCTGCAGTCCTGGGATGCCACCTCCTTGCCCCCAGCAGCCCCCTGCTCCCGAGCTCACCGGTGTGCACCGCACGAAGCTGCCGTCAGCCAGGACCAACTCGTAGGCAGTACAAATGTGCTGGAACAGGCCGTACTTGTGGGATGACGACTCGATGCCCGTGCCCATGATCAAGCCCCCTGCCGAGATACGCATGTTAGTGGGGGAGCTCTGGGGTGCAGGGTAGGGGTGGCGTGGAGCTGGCAGATTGTCCTCACTCCCATCCCAGGACAAGGGACAGGGTAAGGCTGGCAGGGAGAGGGATGACTCCCTATCTTGGCCGCAGGAGTGAGCAGAAGGGTGGAGCTGGGAGACATGAGGGCCCCTATGAGGTAGGGAGTGAACAGGCAGATCCCTCACCCTGGCTAAAGCCACAACCTAGAAACCTGCCATTGTAGGAGGGACTTAAGCAGTTATGGGATCTGCTGGGGGCCCACAGGAACAGACAAGAGAACAGAAGGTGCTTCCCAGGGAGAAGAAAAGGCGTGGGGCCATGGTTCCTCCAGGAGTCAGAGCCCAGACTTCCTCTGTGTGTTTCCTGCGGTAGGAGGGGAGCACTGGGAGTCAGGCCCAGAGGAACAGCCTTGAGCCAGAAGCAGCAGTGCCAGCTGCAGCTGCTCAGAAACAGAGCAGCAGGCAGTGAATACCCTGGCACTGGAGTCACCCAAGTCAGGGTGGCCACTGCTGGACTAGGAGGAAGGGGACCGAGACCCCTGGGCTCTGAGCCCGTGACTGCCTGCCTCCTCTTGTGCATGAACAGGGAGTCCTCACCCACTGTGAGGTCGTCGAGCTCAGGCAGCACAGGCAGAGTCCAGCCAATGGAGTTCAGCAGCGCAGTCACCTGACCCATGGTCACCAAGGGCTCCACACGGACAATCTGTTGATATAAGAAAAGATTTCAGTTCACAAGGAGGCTGCCAGGCCTAACAGAGACCCCACGTACAAGAAGTGCCCTCTCAAGCCACAGCACTTCCAGCCCATTCATCTGCACACGGATTTCTACACAGGTCTTCTGGGCTTTTTCCAGAACATTCCCTATCTTCAATGACAGTGAAAGTGATTTCTGGGTCAGGGCTAGCCAATATTAAACAGATTAAGTTTTTACTTACTTATTTTCATTTTACTGGAGAGGCAGAGAGGAGCAAGTATCCGAACTCACTGTGTGGCATTCCACAGTGCACATCAGCAGGAAGTTAGATTGGAAGATGTCCCACATAGGGACCTAACCACTGTGATACCTGCCCTCTGCCACATCCTTCCAAGTGCCTTCACTGGGGACACTCAGTTTGCTTTCTTAGTTTACAGCAAAATGCTAACTACTGCTCATTCATTTGGGAAAGACAGAAAAAATAAAGACAAAAGCAAAACCCATCCACCCTAGCTCTTCACTTTCTGTTGTTCCTAATGCAATGTATTCACTTTCTCCCCATACATACCTGTATTGCTGGGTTGTTTCTTTTAACACAACACACATACACACACACCTTTTCTGCCCTGGCTTTAAGAAGCTTAACACTGTGTGGGTTCTATGACTATGGTTACTTGCCTTCAAACATTCTTGGGAAATATGACCTTAGGTGGACACCTACATAAGCTGTCATGTGACTTCTTCCAACTAACATGAAGCCACAGGGACCCTGAGAAAAACCAACCCAGACTACACACTGACACAGAGTTTTCCACACAGTGTCCATGAGCAAGCCAGTGGTTTCTAAGAGACAGGAAACCAACAAGGTGAGCTACAAAAGCCCCAGCCAACTTGACTGCCTGGAGCTGGGCAGCACAGGGTAAGGGGGAACCCGGCAGAGTCCAGGGGCTCTTTGAGATGAGCCAGTGTAAATGAGAGTCCTGGAAGTGCAAGAGGTGAGAGAACTGGAGAGAAAACTCTGGAGGGCAAAGGGCATCCCTTGAGTATCTGACTGAGTCCTGACTGGTCGCACACATGGGGACAGGCCAGGGGAAGATTCATCCGAGTGGATAGCAGACACGAGGTAGGTGACGCTGCTTGGGACACCCACACATCATAGCAGAGAGCCTGGGTCTGAGACCCAGCTCCACTTTCAATCTCAGCTTCCTGCGGATGCACACTCTGGGAGGCAACAGATAGTAGCTGAGTCCCTGCCACTCGGGTGGGAGACTTGGTTGGGTCCCAGCTCTTTGTTTCGGCCTGTTTCAGCCTTTGCAATGGTGGGTGTTTGGGGAGTGAAGTTTTATTTACGTATTCGAAAGGCAGAGTTATACAGAAAGAGCTCTTGCATCTGCTGATTCATTCCCTGAATGGCTGTAAAGGTTGGGACTGGGCCAAGCCAAAAGCAGAACCTTTATCTAGGTTATTCACACAGGTAGGGGTCCAAGCACTTGGGCCATTCTTATGCTAGTTTTCCAGGCACTTTAGTAGGGAACTGGATAGGAAGTAGAGCAGTCAGGACTCAAACTGGCACTCATGCAATACTGGCATTGCAGGCAGCCGCTCAATCTATTGTGCCACAAAACTGACCTTAATACAAATGTTTCCTAAAATGAAAAGAAAAGATGATATAGCATTTGGGGTTCACATAGGGCAGAAAATAGAATCTGCTTTCAGAAGCTAGACAGGAAAACCTCACAGTTCACAGCTTCTGTGTATTCAGGAGGCTCCCAGTGTAGCAGCGAATAAGGAAGGCAAAACTAGTTAGCATCCAACAAGAGAACTGTCACAACATCACAATGTCAGAATCCAGTCAAAATCTATGAGGCAGGGAAATTCAGGTGATAGTGGGGAGAAAAGCCAGGCAGGCCCAACAGAGCCAGACCCGACCCAGGCCTGGTGTTAGCAAACGGGGACATGCCAGCAGCAATGACTGCATTCTTAGCATCACAAACCCAAGCAGAGACATTGCAAAGACATGCAGAAGATCCAAATGAAATAAAAATTGCAACCACTGAAATAAAAGATTCATGAGGTAGCACTAGCAGCAAACGAGGTGTCACAGAAAGAAAAATCAGCAAAATTGAACACAGGATCTGAACTATCTAAAATGGGGGGAAAAGTTTAGAAACAAATAACCAAACTGTGGAATAGCCTGAAGGGACATAATCTGCATGTACTAGGAATCCCCAAAAGGGAGGAAAGGGAAGAGAGGGCAGAAAAAAATATTTGAAGAAATAATAGCCCAAAATGTCCAGATTTCATGAAAAAGTACAACAAATTCCAAATGTCCGGTTATGAAAAAAAAAAAAAACTATAAAAAAAACCTGTAAGACCATGAAGAGAAAAAGACACATTACATACAGAGAAACAAAGAAAGCAGATTATTATTATTACTATATTATTTTCTTGCAAATGCAAGCAAGAAGACAGGAACAACTTTTCTAAGATACTAAAAGAAAATATTCAGAAACTTGGGATTTTATATATACACATAAACTACATATTTAAGTGCAAAAAATGGGGGTAAGTGTTTGGTCTAGCAGTTAATCCACAAGTTGGAATGGCCACATTCCTTGGGTAAGAGCCTGGTTTAAGTCCCAGCTCTGGTCCTGATTCCAGCTTTTTGCTACTACACACCATGGGAGGCAGGAGATGGCTCCAGCACTTGGATCCCTGGATTGAATTTCCTGGCTGTGGCCAGGCCCAGCCCCAGATGTTGTGGACACTCAGAGAGGCAGCTGGTAGATGGGAGCTCTGTATCTCTCATTCTCCTTTCTACCTGTTAGATAAACTAAAATAAAATATAGATAGATTTTTTTAAATTGATACAAGAAATGTCCTTGGGGCAGAAGTAAAATGAAACTGGAAATCTACCCTGGGAAGGTGTTGGGTGACTGTCCCCCATTCCAGAGTGCAGAGGCCTTTGGGAGGCTGGGTGTGGCTTAGGCTTGTCCCCCACCTTCCCCCAGATACAGGAAGGAAAAAAAGAGAATGTGGAAATGGTGATCTCACCCACCTTGCTATAGCCCTTGACCTTTATCACCCTAATCAACTATCATCAAAAATAAATAATTAATAAAAATTTTTTTATTAAAAAAAAACCAAGAAACTGGAAATCTATATAGTGGGATAAATGTTTGTAATTGTACAAACATAACATGTTTTCTTAATTACATGTCTTGAAGAGATTAAGTGACAATTTAAAATAATGAAAATACTCCAGCTGTAGGCAGCTGCCAAGGCTGCCTCGTACCTAGGCACTATTATACTGTTGGGAGAAAAGCAGCCAATAACTGGCTGGCATTCTGGGCCTAGTTCATACCAACTGTGTTAACTACACCAGTTTTGCCAACATAATTAGTTATTTTTTTAACATCCAATCTGTAAGAGACTGACTTTGCAGGAAGAGACATGAAACTCAGAATTTCAGTCCAAAGGCAGGCTTCTGGTGCTGGACTGGGAGCAGGCAGGTCAGGGGACCCGTGCCAGGATCCCAGGCATCCGCTCCCACCACAGTGCTAAGTCAGAGTTCTGGAAGGGGTGCCCCACTGATGGCCTTTGACAGGCCTAGGGCCTGAAGGGTTTTAGGTAGGAGTGACAAGCCAGGACCCTGACGCTGGGGTCCTAGACAGTCTGTACTCACAGCATGCCACCATACCAGACTAGAGGCCTGAGGTCCAGAACCTGGGGCAGGGCACCAGTGATGGGCCGAGCTATACACATGGTATACCACCATGCCAGTCTAGAGTGGCAGGCCCAGGGCCTGATGGGTCCAGGCAGACAGCATGTATGGTATCCACCACCATGTGAGGTTGGGGGCCTGAGACTGGGGCTTCTTGAGGGGAAGAGTTAACTGGTGGCCTTTGGCAGTCTAGGTGTCTGACGGGTCCTAAACAGGCTGCATCTGCAATACAACACTGTGCCTGTCTGGGAGTGGCAGGCCAGAGGCCTGAGGCTGAGGACTGAAGGGGGCAGGTCCACTGGTGGCCTTTGTCATCACCAGCAAACTTGGGTTTTTATGTCCAGTTGGTCTCAGATGGCATAGGATCTCCAATTTCAGGGATAAGTGTGTGTGTGTGTGTGTGTGTGTGTATCTCAGTATTGGAACACAGTGCATGCTGTTCTGCCTTCTATGCTGATTCCCGTGCAGGGGAGAGGATCATGCCTCGGTGCACAGGAAGGATGAATTGGCCTGCTCCTGCGAACCAGACAAGGGACTTCCATGCCTGTTCAAAGGACAGCAAAGGTCAATGACTTCTGGAATGGTGAAGATGATGCAGCAGACACAGCTACATTTTCTATGGCTCATATGAGATAGGGAGATTTATGAACCTTGGACATGCCCCCATTCAGCATGAAGCAGCTACAGAAGATGAAATGAATCTACAGCCTTCGGCAACCCTGAAGAATAAAGGTCAGAAATCTCAGGGGAAGGAGGATGATATGGGGCAGGTCAGTTGCTAGCTTAGAGTCATGAACTGGAAGTCACACTTCCCCCACACTATGGAATACGATCTACCTACTTGTCAATCAAATGACCCCTTCCCAAAGATGTATTTCCCCTCAGCAGGGACCTGGAGGTGGTATCATGTAACCTCTCCCGCTTCTAAGCTCATAAGAAGACAGTCCCTGGAAGGAGTACTCTCTCTTCCTGTAGACATAAGGTAAAAGTATAAACATGTCTCTCCCCCTCCTTTCCTTTGTTTGCCTGCTCTAGCCCAGAACGTGTGTCTATGATTTCCTCATCTTTTAAATAAACTATATAATAAATAAATAAATATTTTAAAAATAATGCAAATAATATGATTTGGAGTTTATAATATATGCAAAAGTAGAAAATAACAATTGCACAAAGATCGGTGAATTATTTTAAGACTTTTACACTGCATACAAAATGAGATGATCTCACTTGAAGGTCTACTGTGCTGTAAAGTATATGTTCTCTATGAAGCAACTGCTAGAATCACAAAACAAAGACTAACAACTAACAAGGCAACAAAGGGACTAAAACTAAACCACAAAATTATTCAGTAATCCAAAAATAGACATGAGAGAGAAAAAAAAAAGAGAGAGAGAGAAAGGGAGAAAGGGAGCAAAGAACAAATAGACAAGACAATAAATAGCAAGGTGACAAATTTAAACCAAGTCGTAGCATTAACCATAAGTGGCATCACCACTGAAATTAAAAGGCAGAGGGTGTCAGATTGGATTAAAAAGACAAGATCCAACTACCTGCTGTCTACAGAGAAACACATTTTAAATATGAAGACATATTAGCTGAACAGCAACACAAGAAAAATATACACCAAGCTACCACTAGGCAAAGTCAAGGTGGCTTTATTAATGTCCAAGAGAGGAGATTGCAGAAGTAGCAGCAGAGGTGGAGATTTTTTTAAAAAGGTCAATTCATAATGATAAAGGCAACAATGAGTCAAAATGGCATGAAAGTCTTAAACATTGCTATTCCTAATAACAGAGATTTGAAACGCATGAAGTGAAAACTTCATGGACCTGCCAGATACATCAATAAAGCACAACTACAGGCAGAGATCTCAATCTCTTTCCTAATAATAATTTTAAAAAAAGAAAAGAAAAGAAAAGTAAAGAAAAAGTAAAGAGAGGTTGATGCCATAGCATAGCAAGTTATGCCTCTGGATTTGGCATAAACCAGGCCCAGAATGCTAGCTAGCTACGGCATTTGTTTTTCTTCTAGGCAGCTGCCTATAGGTGGGGTAAATATGTATCTTTATTAAACTGAATATTAGTGAAAATCAAGTAAATTTAAGTGTCTGTTTCTAAGTAAAAAAATACATCTGCTGGATATCTTAAAAACCAAATTGGTAAGAGAATGCTTAATCCAGAGGAGATTAACTGGATACTTCCAACAGAAGTGTAGTTTTTGGGGCCAGTGCTGTGGCTTAACAGATTAAGCCGCCACCTGCAACGCCAGCATTCCATAAGGGTGCCAGCTCAAGTCTGGATTGATCAGCTGCTCCATTTCCAATCCAGCTCCCTGCTAAAGGCTTGGAAAAGCAGCAGAGGATGGTTCAAGTGCTTTGGCCCCTGCATCCACATAGCAGACCTGGAAATGCTTCTGGCTTGGGAATGGCCTCAGCTCCAGCCACTGCAGCTATTTGAGGAGTGAACCAGCAGACAGAAGACCTCTCTGTCTCCCCTTTTCTCTGTAATTCTGCCTTTCAAATAAAAAGAAATCTTGAACAACATTATTAAGAAACTTGACCTAATTGACACTTGTATAATATACCACCTAACAATATCAAAATACCTTTTTTTAATACACATGGAATATTTACCAAGAACATCCTCTGGACCATGAAGTTCAGTTGAAATGCATTCTAATCATACAAATATGCTTTCTAACAACTGAATTAAATCATAAATGAGTAACAAAAAGATCTCCAGAGAATTTTCAACTATTTGGAAATAAAACAAAACACTTTTGAGTAAACCACAGATCACAGCAAATATCAAAAGGAGGATCAGAAAGTATTTTGAACTGAATAAAAAGGAAAAGAACATCTTGAAACTTGTGAGCTGCACTAAAAGAAGGACAGAGGGAAATTTACGGCACTAAATATCAGTATTAAAGACAAAGATCTGAATCATTGAGATTAACCTTAAACAACTATTAAAAGGAAAGTAAACCTAAGTGAAACCCAAAGTAAAGAGAAAGAGAAATATCAATGCAGAAACTGGTGAAATAGAAAACCAAACAAAATAAAACAGAGAAAGCAATAAAATCAAAAACTCCAAGATCAACAAAACTGATCAGCCGTTATCCAGACCAATCAGAGACTGCAAGCTTATATAAAGAACCAGGATTTCCTGATGCTAAAAGGGTTTTAGATAGTTTTACGTCATTAAAGTATAGACCTTAGTAGAAGCTTATCTGACAGCAAATACATAAACTGAGGAGCATTTGTCAACTGAAGAAATCAAATTTATAGTTAAAAACCTGCTCAAAGAAAACTCCAGGCCCAGACAAATTCACTTTATGGAGTCTGTAAAACTCTTGGAGGAAAATCTCCACATTCGGGGTTCTTTGTGGAGATGCCCACCTGGCCCGAGCATTCAGTGTATGCTCTTCATTAAACTTCACTTAGCATGCCTTCCGAGCAATCAAACCCAAAACTCTCCCATACTGGCTTAAGCCAAAATTTCTTAATTAGGGCATTAAATTACAAAGAAATGAATATATTGGACTTGGTCCAAGTTAGCAACTTCTGGTTTTCAAGACAAGTCAGTCTGAGAGAAAATATTTGCAAGTCATGAACTAAACAAAGAATTTGTTTCCATTTTTCTTTTAAATGGCAGAAGATCTTTGTGACTAAAGATACACAAGTAATAAATATACCAATGAAAAGATGTGCGATACTATTGGTCCTTAGAGTAATGAAAACTAAGCTACTGTACACCTATGAGAATAGCTAAAATTAAGCGAACTAACCATACCAAGTTGGTGACAAAATGGAGAAATGAGACATTCTCATTGCTGATGGGAGTGCAAAATGCTACAACCTCTTTGGACCACAATTCAGTAGTTTCTTCCAAAAATACCATACGATGCAGGCATTCCATTTCTAGTTATGTACCCAAGAGAAAAACTCCATGTGTCCACACAAAGCTGGTAGACCAATGTTCTTCACCACTTTACTTATAATAGCCCCAAACTGCAAACAGCTCAAATATCCATCAGCAAGGATGAAAACAAATGGTACATCTGCAAGGGTGAGTAGGCCACCAGAATGTTCTCTACAGACATTTCAATACACCCTCCCAAATAATCACATGGAGCCAAAGAAGCTCAACAAAAACTGGGGCCACATTTGTAAGACTCCATTTCTACAAAACTCTGAATACAAACTGATTCACAGGGACAGGAAGCAGATCACTACTGACCTAAAGATGTGCGGACAGGATGACAAGGAGGGACTTGAAGAGGGAAGACAAAAGGGCATGAAGACTTTTCAGAGTGAGAAAAGTCTCTCCCTGGCAGTGGAAAATGGTTTCATGGGTGCAGTGGTATGTCACAGCTCACCCAAAGGCACACTTTAAATACATGCTGTGGACCACCTGCCAAGGACACATCCATTGAGGCACTGTAACAATAACAGTATAGAGGGCTGGGTGTTTGGTGCAGCAGTTTAGACATCACAGGGGACACTGTATACCATATCTGAGTTTCTGGGTTCAAATCCTGGCTCTGTCCTCTACTTCAGCCTTCTGTTCATGCAGACCCTGGGAGGTGGCAGGTGATGGCACAAGTAGTTGGGTTTCTGCCACTCAAGCGAGAGACCCAGATTGAGTTCCTAACTCTTTTGACTTTGACCTGGCCCAATCCTGTTAATGTAAGAATTTGGGAGTGAAATAGAGAACAGAAAATCTCTAATATGTATGTCTCCCTTTCTCTGCCTCTCTCTCTCTCTCTCTCTCTCTTTCTTTCAAATGAAATACAACAAATATTTTTTGAACAAGGCAGAGTAAAAAAGTAACTGGACCAAGGTCTCACACAATAGGGAGTCATCAAGAAGACAGCCATTTAATGACTCTTATATTATTGAATATAGTCTTCAATTAGAAACAAAGCTGTGATACAACCTCTTCTTGCCGGGAAGCTTGTAATTACACGTAAGACCATGTCCTGAAGCCAGGTTTCGGGAAGCCGAATCATCAGACGGACTAAAGAGTGCCTATTGCTAAGGCTCTTAAACAAGCGGATCTACAGGGAGCTTGTGCCCAAGCCCATGCCTTAAAGCCACCATCACAGCCTGCATCTGAACCAGATAAAACAGGTTCCCTTTTGTTTCCGTTTTGTCCATGAGTTTCTCCATCCCTAATATCCTGTGGAATTCTAGACAATTATAAAATCCGGCCGAGCTCTCTGTGAGATGGGGCCAGGAGCAGTCTCCACCCCCGATGAATTTTGAGGTGTGGAGGATGGCAATTGTGGGCAGAGCCTTCTGGGATTCATCCCTGTTCCTGATGAGCCTCCTGTAAGAGCACCCTGCTCCCACCGCTGTTCTCACCTGTTTCTTGGTGTCCACCTCCAGGATGTCCATCAGGTTGATCATGATATTTTTGTGTGTCTTCTTGTACTTCCCCACACGCAGCGAGACGGTTAGCCAGCCGGGGCGGCCCGTGCACATGAAGGTCTTGCTGCCCTGCTCCTTCCATTCCCGTACCTGCAACCATGTGAGAACACAGGCTGAGCCAGGAAGTCCTGCTTTTGGGAAGGGGGGAACTAGGAAAGCTTTTTCCGTCCATGCTCTGAAGGAGCCAACATGTTGCTACAAGGCAGAGTGAAGAAGGCCCGAAAACACAAGATCAAAGGGTTTTGAAAACAGTAATTGCCGAGTTCAGGAAAGGTTATATAATGGCAATAGGAGCAATTACAAAAAATGACCACCGTGGTCTGGGCGCTCCCACTGTTTCAGCAGCCTGTGGTATGCTTCCTTAACTCATACCAACCCTGGGAGCTTGTCTGATCCCCAGTCTACAGATGGGGAAACAGAGACCAGCAACTTGCCAGAGGCCACACCTCTCATAAATGGCAGACTTCAGGGCCTGGAGTGTCAGCTGAGCTTGTAGTTCACAGACTAGCAACTTGCCACTTAACGGAGGTGTCTGTGCCAAGCCCTGTTCTGCGAATGCCCCGGTGTTAGCATGCCCCAGGTAGCACTTTGAAGGGGAGGACAAAGGACAGGAAAAGATCATCCAGCTTGAGGGGAAAGAATTTCTGCCAAGAGTCTCTGTGAATAATCAGTGCAGGGTACAAACCACTCCCCTACCCCCAGTGATGGGTGTGGAGGGGCAGGGATGACGGCCTCCCAGGAATACAGATAAGAGGTCCTTCCTGCTGAGATAGGGCTATTTGTCATTGTGACCTGTGACCATCTGGTTCCATTTCACCTAATTCCAATAACCTCATCTCCCTGTGGTCCAGGAAAAGGGCACATGACAGGTCTCAATCTCTCCTGGCCATGGTGACAGGTTCAGGGGATACCAATGAGACTGGTTCCACAGAGGCAATCTCTTTTATCCCTAGGGGCTGCTCCACAGGTTGGACATAAGTCAGAAATTGTTAGGGCCTCTGCAAGGAAACAGTCCCACCACGAATGAAGAGGAAAGAAGGGCTGGGAGATGACTGATGGGTGGAAAGAGATGGAGATTAGAGAGAAGGGGTCTTAGATCCTGTCATGCCTGAGCTGGACTTTTCAGAACCCAAATCAATAAAGTCCCTTTTTGTTCACGGCAGTGTGAATCAAGCTTCCATCATGTGCAATCCAGGGTCCTGGCCAGGTAGCCTGAAGGAAGTTACACGGTAGCTGGCCAGGCAAACAGCTGGACACTACGCTACGGTCAGAGCACGTAAGGCAGGGCTGTTCAAGTTAGTGGTGGGGGTGCTGAGGGAGGGATTCCATAACTGGTAAGGTCTTGCCCAGGTTCAGTTCTGTGGTCTAGGTCTTAACACAAGCCAGGAGGCATAAGGGAGTGGAGTGGAGGTGCAGCATGCGAGCTGGAGGATGGGCCAGATGAGATCCCTGCGCAAGCCTGCTGCATCCTGATGGGAGCCAACCTAGATTTTGGGCAGAGAGGCAAGTCCAAGAAACACACTTTCAGGGCTGTGTGCAGGCCCAACGGGAGGTGGAATAGGGCAAAGGGCTGGAGTGGGTGGGAGGGGGCAACTGATTCAGGGAGCTTCTGCAGCAAGCCAGGCCAGGGGCTGCAGAATCAAACGCACCAGGCTAGAATGAAAAGGATGAAAACGAGGAATGGAGAAAAGATTGGTCTCTGGAATCAGGCAAACCAAGCCCCAGCGCAGCATATCAGCTGTGTCATCCCAGGTACATGACCCCGGATGCGAACCTCAATTTTCCTATTACAGACAGGTACAACAGCTACCAGGGTTGCTGTGAGAATGACAAACAAAGGATACCCATGACACAGGATGTGACACACAGCAGGCCCAGGGCAGTGGCCAGGTCCTCTGTGCACTGTTCTAGTGAATTCTAACAAGTTCAGTTGAATAAACATTCACTGGGCTTTTCTGTGCCAAGCCTCACTGGATCAGAGGTGAATCAGGTAACAGTCCCTGCCTGCCAGGAGCTCACAGGCTGACGGGAAGACAAACAGGTGCATGGATCCTGTCAACTTGGGGAAGGGTGATGCTGCCAAGGGTTGGTGGACAAAGTCCTCCAGACGGACTTGAGCCATGCTAGTGCAGTTGAGCAGGGTCCTTCCAGAAGCTGCACTCTCCCCACTGGCAGGGCAGAGCCTAAGCCATGACTGACTGGAGACGGCCATAGCACCACAGACCCATCTCCGCATGCCCGCAGGCTGCACCCACACTGGCACACAGAACATGGAGGCTGCTGTCAGCTGCTCCTACAGTCTGCGGGGCCCCGGAAACAGAAGCTCTGTGCAACCTGATGCCAGTTAAGGCAGGAACATAAGGAGGGGCAGAGGCAGCCAGGAAACTGCCTGCGAGGCCAGCCACCTATGCCAGCCCCAGACTCGAATGGAGGGGGCTCCCTGCAAGACGCTTCAGGGGGAGCAGAGTCCGTGGGCGCCAGCACAGGGAGGATGCCTACAAGTTACTGGCAGAGGTCAAGCAGTGAGTTACCAGAGAGGCTCGCCATTGGGGGCTGGGGCCTGGCCTCCACCTTCCCGCTTTAGTCTTCAAAAGCGTGGAAAGCACCCTGCTGCTGGCAAACGAACTCCAAACTCTAACCTGTCGTCAAGGCCCTCTCCAACCCGGCTGGAGATCGCCATTCCAAACCTCTCCCCTTCCTTGCTCTGCCCTCACAGGTAATTCCACCTGACACACCTTCCCCCCATCCTTTCCTCTACTTCCGGGCTTCACCTCCCGGAAGCCTTTCCCCCTCAGAATTCCTGGGTCAGGGAGAGGTGCTTGGGTGCTGGGTTCCTTCCACTAGATCCCTCCAGGTACCCGCTCACATCCTGCACACAGTGGGGAGTCCTTCAAGACAGGGACGAGGTTTTGTCTCCCCCTTTTTCCCTCTAGCACCTACGCCTTTTCTGTCCCCCTTCCCAAGAGGGGGTCTCCCCCATCACAGGTTTGCCCCCATCCCCTTCAGCACCAGCTCCCGCGGGGCGTTCTGGCTGGGTTCCCACCCGTGCACCGCACACGTCGTGCCTCCTTGCCGACCGCTAGGCACTCTCACGTAGGACGGAGCGCGACTCACCTGCTTCTGGATGTCCTGCACGCGCTGCTCGTGCAGGCGCGGCGCGCTGCTGAGCTTGAACACCACCCAGGCGCGCACGTAGTAGTAGATGTCGAAGATGAGGGAGAGCGGCAGCAGGAAGAGGCACACGAACACCCAGCGCTGGTGGATGAGCACGAACTCCAGCCCCTTCACGCGCACCCAGAGCAGGAAGAGCAGCGCGCACACGGCCAGAGACACGGCGGGCTCCATGGTGGCAGCGGCGCGCCGCGCGGGGAGGGCTGCAGCTCAAGCCGCCTGTCACCACCGCCCGCTCCGCGCCCGCCGTCCACCGCGCAGGGAGCCTCCGGGTCGCCCGCCGCCTCGCGATTGGCTTGGGTAGCCAAGGTTCGGTGGGCCGAGACCCGGGCGATGGCCAATGGCGAGCCTCGCCGGGGATCGGACCAGGAACCCGCTGCTTTCATTGGCTGCGAGTACCGGCTCGCTCCTCCCCTTTCTCCTCGCCGACGCGCGAGGAGGGGGCGGCCGGGGCCGGGGGCGCCGCTGGGGTCAGCTGCGCTCTGTGAGGCCAGGGCAGCCCGCGGGCGGGCGGCGGGAACCCGGGCGGCCGCGCCTCGGGCCTGCGGGGCCGCCCTCACGTCTCCTCGCGCGGCGCCTCCTGGACTCGCGCGTGGAGCGGTCACGCGTGGAGCTAGACCACCCAGGGTGGCGCCCCGAACCCTGAGGCGGCCACTCTGCAGGCGCCCCGTGTGCGCGTCAGGCACGAGGAGGCACCTCTGCCTAGTTCCTGGCGCTTTCCTGTCAGACTCTTTGAGCTGCACAGCGGTCCTAGGCGGTGGGTCCTTGGGGACTCATTTTCTACAGGAATGTGAGTCGCTTTGAAGTACAGAAGCCGTGACTGACTTGGTCGCCTTTTGTGCGAGCCTGGGGAGGCCTGGTGAAGAGCGACTGCAGCCCGCCATTGTGAACCCCTCAGGGCCAGGGCTGTGGACAAAGCAGGTTGACCTGCCATCTTGTAGCCAGCAGGCTAGGGGATAGGGCATTGGATCCATCGGTAACGACTAAAAGCAGCGTCCTTTACCTTTCTTCAGAAAGCTCTGGAAGTTCCGAGAAAGTGAACAAGCGTGACATACCATAGCCCTGTGGCTTTGACCTTATTTGCCTGTGGGATTTCCTTCCCTGAGGGGCATTCCTAGGAGGTTCACCACCCACCCCCCTTGGCTGAGCTAACCTTACTCATCCTGGAAAGTGACTCAGGGCCACTTCTAAAACTGTTCCTCTGGTAGTTTCCTTCCCCGTTGAGTTGCTCATGACATCCAGCATCTGTTTTGTGAGTCTTCCCTGGTTGTCTCTCAGCCCATAAACAGTGTAAGGATCAGTGCCCTCTGTTCACATTTGTAGATCTAGTACAGGGATTGGTGTGCAATACACATGCCAGTGTGCGTTGACCAATGACTGAGTTATAGGCAGATGTCCAAATAGCAAAGTCCAAAGAGTGAGACTGTTTATGCTGGGCTCCAACAAGGAACCCTGTAGACCTATCCCATCTCACAGAACAGGCTGAGTCTGAAAGGATATGTCCCTTCAACGAGAAATGAACTGATGTGGTGTGAAAGGGAGAATGCTGAGTAGCTCATGAATAGCTAATATTAAACATTCAAATGCAAGATTTTGATAGAGTGGGCTAAATCAAATATGTATAGTGTTAAGATTTTACCTGCCTCACTTACTTTTTTGAAATTGCTCCTAGAAAATGTACAGGTTGATCTTGAGTTCTCTCTAGAAACTCTAGCCAAGGAGTGGGGGTGGGTGTGCACATGGGAAAAGCCTTTCCTAGCTCCTGGCTACTCTTAGGCGTTGGCAACTGATAGGCTTTGCTTTTAAGATTTATTTATTTCTGTTGGAGAGGCGAATTTACAGAGAGAAGGAGAGACAAGAAAAAGGTCTTCCATCCAGCAGCTCACTCCCCAGATGGCTCCTAGATGCTTCTTTGAGCATTTCTGGTGAATGAGGTCACTGAAAAAGTCAAGTTCAATCTGAAAGTTAACGGAGGTGTTGAGAATCTTGTAGGAGAAGCGGTGGAAATTGCTGGTCAATAAGAAGAGTTAATGGCAGTAAATTGGTTAATTGAAATAATTTCACACTTGGGAGGAGGAGGAAGCCTTCCCAAGTACGTAAGGCTAACCTTTAGCTAACAACTCCGGAAAAATGAAAGCAAGGAAGAGGCACTCAGAACAATTGAGCTGAGATGCCTGTCCATCTGTCTGTCTGTCCTCAGATTCCTGCATCTTCTCCACAAACCCCAGCCCTGGGAACTGCTGTTGTCTGAGAAATACACTGTCATCTTGAGTAAGGCCCATTAGTTTGTTTCATTTCTTGAATAAACAGGCTGTTCACCTGTTTGTACAGTTTATGGACTTCAGCCCATCAAAGGATTCTAGGCTGCTGGAGTCCAGCTCTTCCTCCTGCTGCCGCTTTGCCCCTAGCAGACAGGGCTCTGTCCTCAGTCATTTGAAGTTTTTTGTTTGTTTGTTTTTCTTTTTCCCTGAGAGCTCATAGGAATGAGATCCTGTGATATGTAACCTTGAGCCCATTTGTTTTTGCTGAAGTCAAAGCAGCTGCTTTGGATGGGGAGCCTGGTAATTGCTGTCCTTTCTTTGCAGGCTACATGGACCATGACCATACATGTAACCAGAGCACTCACGAATAGGATGTTCTGGACAGCAACTTCTGAAATTAACTAGAAGGTAAATAAAATCCCTTTCATACAGGATAGTTCAGAAAGTTTATGGAAGATGGCATTAATTAAAAGATAATTAAAAATATTTTTTATTGGAAAGGAAAATTTACAGAGGAGAGACAGAGAGAAAGATCTATCTGGTGTTACTGTGGCTTACTCCCTAAGTGGCCACTACCACAGAAGCTGAACCAATCTGAAGCCAGGAGCCAGGAGCTTGCGTGTTTGTGCAGGATCCCAAGGCTTTGGGCCATCCTCTGCTGCTGCTTACCAGCTATAAGCAGGGAGCTGGAAGGGAGATGGAGCAGCCGATACCCAAACAGATGCCCACATGGAATCCCATTGCTTGCAAGGTAAGGATTTAGCCATTAAACTATCGCCCCATGGCATAATAATCCTTCGCTTGCAGCCCAGCATCATATATAGGTGCCAGTTCGTGTTCCAGCTGTTCCTGCTTATGGTCTGGAAAGCAGCAGGGGATGGCTTGAATTTGGGGGCCCCTGCATGTACTCAAAGGGGACACCCAAAAGAAGCTGCTAGCTTCAGATCAGCTCAGTTCTGGCATTGAGACCATTTGAGGAGTGAAACAGTAGATGGAAAACCTTTCTCTTTCTCCTTCATTCTATAAATTTGTCTTCCAAATTTAAAAAAACCTTTTTTAAAAGTAATTTTTAAAAAGAAGTATTTATTTGAAAGTGTGGCAGAGATATCTTGTACTTGTTGGTTAACTGTTCAGAGAATATAACAGCCTGGACTGTGCCAGACCACAGGAGCTTCATTCAGTTCTCCCATGTAGATGGCAGAGTCCCAAACACTTGAGCCATTCTCTGCTGCTTTGTTCAGGCCATTAGCAGAGAGTTGGATCAGAAGTGGAGTAGCTGGTACCTGAACCAGCACCTATATGGAATGCAGCAATTTTGCCCATAATACCGCAATGCTAGCCCTGCTTGTTGTTTTAGCCAACCGGTCTGCAGGTGACAATAGGAACTATTGATCTGTGTTGTTTTAAATAATTGGGGGCATTGGATTAAGATCAAGTTTTCCTGATTAATGTTTTATTCTGGGAAATTGTGAGAAGTGTGACTGATCTTCTGGATCTTTTCATCATTTGAATATGCTCAGTTGATTTTTTTAATATTTATTTATTTTTGTAGGCAGATATACAGAGAGGAGGAGGAGAGACAGAGAGGAAGATCTTCTGTCCTATGATTCACTCCCCAAGTGACTGCAATGACCGGTGCTGTGCCAATCCGAAGCCAGGGGCCAGGAACTTCCTCCAGGTCTCCCACGTGGGTGCAGGGTGCCAAGGCTTTGGGCCGTCCTTGACTGCACTCCCAGAGGCCACAAACAGGGAACTGGATAGGAAGTGGAGATGCTGGGATTAGAAGGCTTCCATATGGGATCCTGGTGCATTCAAGGTAAGGACCTTAGCTGCTAAACCACGCCACCGGGCCCAACAAAATAAATATTTAAAAAAGATTTGGACAAGATTCTGGGGGAGGCAGCTTGTTCATGGTAGTGGACTGAGTCATTGGTTAAGTCTTTCTTGCTTAGGAGGATTTTGGCCTCAAGTCACAGGAAGCTGTGCTTCAAGCAGCCATAACAACAAGGGGCTTGTTATCTCCTATAATGAGAAGTCTGGGTGGAGACTGACCCAAAGCAAATTAAACGATTGGCTCTGTAAAAATTGGAAATGCTCAGTCCTCCCTAGCTCTTGCAGGATTTTGTCTTTTCAGATTAACTCCCTTTGGGAAGGCGAAAGACACTGTGGTTCTAGTGACTACATCAGATATAATATCACCCAGGAGAAGGATGGGAAACACCTTTGAATGGAAATGAATTATGTCTATAGCATGTTGGCTCCATGACTGTTAAGTGTATGAATTGTGCAAAGTGCTGGGATACAGCAGTGAATTGATGCAATTCTTACCCTAATCGATCCTTGTGGGAAAGTTAGGCAAATCAACAGGTAATTATAAGTTAATGTGATAAGTACTTTGATTAGGAATTATAGGGTGTGATGCAAGTATATGTATAGGTATTTGTCTTCTGCCTGGGAGAATCTATCTGCAGCCTGGGAGGAATTTTGAATGGAAGCAATGGTTGAGTAGAGACCATGGACTGGGTACTGGGCAAATGGGTATGATATCTTTGGGACTGAAAAGAATACAGACAGTGCAGTGAAGACATCGGGAGATTTCAGAAGTGACGGTCTGGTCACGTCATACTGACTGTGGGAAGGGAAATAGAGCAAGTGGGGGCAAAGCCAGCTGAGCTTAAATAAGCTGTCAGAGCTAAGGCAACACCTGTAGACATGGAAGGCGATGGTAAGTCTAAGAGAGATAGAAGGAGGGCCTGGCACGGTGGCCTAGAAGCTAAAGTCCTCACACTGAATGCACCAGGATCCCATATGAGCACTGATTCTAATCCTGGCATCTCCACTTTCCATCCAGCTCCCTACTTGTGGCCTGGGAGAGCAGTCAAGGATGGCCCAAGGCCTTGGGACCCTGCGCCCATGAGGGAGACCTGGAGGAGTTTCCTGGCTCCTGGCTTTGGATTGGCACAGCACCGGCCCTTGTGGTCACTTGGGAGTGAATCATTGGACAGAAGATCTTCCATAGAAGGAGCA